AGGAAACACTTCTGATAAGCCTCCAGAAGGCGAATGTTCTCAAACAAGTCTACTTGGCCATCACGCAACAGCCAAAGACTGAAGTTAAACCCTGTCTAGCAGAGGCACAATTAAATTCTTTTACTCATTCCAGTAATGCTGAAAAAAATGTGGTAATATGTACTTGTCCATTTAGTGTATTTTTTTTTCTTAAAAACCCTCAGGTCTTTACAAAAGTAACCTGAAAGAACTGTTTCAGGAATTATGCAATGCTCTGAAAAGACCTTCACTACATTGCTTTTATATTCAAGTCTAATTATTACCAAGCTTCTATATTAAAAAGCAGATAGTTTCCTTTCCCTGCAAAATAACATTTCTCTCTCTTAATGAGGGACTTGCAAATATGCAGTTTGCTAAGCACCAGAGCAGCAGGTATAACAGCTCCTTAGTTAATCAAAGGTTCTTCTGAACCAAATTTTTTCCCCTCCTTTTTTCTTTTGTAGGATGCTTATACATTTAAACAAAAGGATAAAAACACTTGAAATGTTAAATCTGTTTCAAGTTCACAATGAAGTTTTTTTTGTAACTATTTTTGTGCCAAATACATGGAATAAACTGCTATACAATTTTCAAAACATGCCACTTCCCTTCTAAACATCTTTGAGAAAACAGTTTACTTACTCTAACCATAAGGTTAGAAATTTTCAGTAAATCTGACGTTAACCCAAAGCACAACATAAACATTCAGCTATTACCTCCTTTTCATGTTTTTAGTAATCCAGTGAGAACTTCTACTCGGCACGTCATCTGTCTCTGCTTCAGATTTTCTTAAGCAACAGCAAACAGAAGTTATTTTGAGGAAAAAGTTCTTTAAGAAGTAAGACTTGTTATCAGAAAAGATCAGTCCATTAAACAGAGTTGCACTTGATCTGGAGTTACTACAGCCTTCTACAGAGGCTCTGAAATGGTATAATTCTGGACTGCAATAATTCCTTAAAAACAAAAAAGGAGGGAAAAAAACATTCCAGCCTTGGAAACAACCACAATCTTCTTCCTACACACAACCCACTTAGTAATTTTAGGGATTAAAATCTTAACAGTTGAATGATTAATGAATCAATGAATTAAAAACTTACAGATTAAGAGCAACAGTGACTGCCTCATAACTTGCTATCTTTCATACAAAGACAGAAAGAAAAACTGACTCAAGTAGAAATTCCTTTAGTTGGTACTTCGTTAGTGGTTAAGCATCCTGCAGAGGAAATAAGTTTGGGCAATGGAGAAATTTGTCAAAGGAAAAGGAAGAAGAACGAAGGAGATAGAATTGCTGAACAGGAGGTTTAAATGAAGTAGGGAGTTACATAACAAAAGACGAAAATCTAACAATAATTGAAGAAGTGAGCCGGAAAGGTAAAGTTCATATATACCAAATGGTTATTGCTGAAGAACTACCTGATCACAGGATACCAATTTGTATACTAATAGACCAGCAGAAACAGACAAACACTGCTAGACAGCGCACAACTAATAAAGCCCAGTTCTTAAAAGTCTCATTCCAGTTCTTAAAAATTTCCATTCTAACCTTTCAAACTTGAGCATCTGCCCAACATGAACAAGCCATAATGAAAGAAACCAGATTAAGAGTAAGATCCTGGAACTGTTGACTTTTTACCAGAATAAATATGCATTTACAAACTTCACATTATTATGCATTTTATAAACTTTACACATTACAATTGTATGACGCTCAGGTCTTACACAGAAAAATTAAGTGTTTAAACTGTTTCCTTACAGAAGTAAGTCCTGAAGTTGCCATAAGCATGATAAACGTATAATTTTGTCCATGAGAGAAATATTAATTCAACAGAACAAAATGCTGAAGTCAAAACAGTAGTTATGTTATAAAATCCATTTACTTTTAACATCAGAAGCACTCCTGCAAGCTGCTGTATAAATGCAGCCATTACAACTCATGCTCAAGAAAAAAACAAAATCCACGCGCTCCTCCTGCACTAAAGTATATGGTTACCACTTATACACAAAACATTTGGCACAGGAAATGTCTTGCTGCTCACAAGAAAACTGTACCTCAACAATGGAATGCTACCATGAGGAATACAAACACTATTTTGGGCTACTACAGGAGAGATCTTACCACAGCCATCCCTGCCAAGGGTTATTGCTTAAACCAGAAATACATACATAATTCAAGTAACTCCATTCAACAGGGTTAAACTTGAACTACAACAGGTGTAAAACAGGAAATTAAGAGCACCTCATTTAGGAAAACAAAGCAAAGACTGAGCACAGGCCTGATGACCGCTCTCAAAACACAAAGGGAGTAAGCGCCAAAGACAGAGAAAAAAATTTAGGCTTATATTTTAAAAGGGAAAGGATGGTATACCAAGAGCAGGTACAACCTACCTAACTGTCATAATAAAGCTTTATCACTGTCTCTCAATTGTAAAAAAGCAAAATTCAACTAAATATTACAATTTGATGCAGCTGCTTTTAACTGACTGAAAGACTGAAACTTGTGACTCAAATCCCTTCCAATTTACAAACAAATTCAAAAGACTTGAAAGATACATATTAAAAAAGAGAACTGTATTAAAAGAATCCCCTAGTTCTACCTGCTAATAAATATAAATTTTACCTTACAATGATGATGCAAGCTCCAGTGTTGATTTTCACTATGATTCCTTCCATTTGGTGCTTATTGCAAAGATACTGCAGCTTTTCATACCACTAATGTAAGAGGTCAACTCAAAAAGTTAACTACATATGCAGTTCTTTAAGTAGTAGTAATATATTACAGACATACTTTACTGCACTGGTTCTTTAGTGACTTTAGAGTTGACACTTTGAATACGTCAAGCTTTTTGCACAGCTATAAATGAACAGCTGAACAAGCCGAGTAATTTAGAAACAAATTGAGTAAAATTTGCCACTGAACAGTATCTGTGAAAGTTGAAGTGGGTTGAAATAGGAGCTAAGTTTACTAATAGTTACATACATAATAAAAATGGTTTTACCAAAACCCACTGATCAGATTAAAAAATTCTCTTACCTACATCATCAATTAATGCTTTTAAAAAAAAAAAAAAAAAAAAAACAACCAAACCACACTATCTTGCAAACTATTTCTGAGTGTGCTTTACAGTAAACAGCCTTTAACTAGAAGAATTCTCAGAACATTTTCAAGTTTTACCATACATACAAAATAAAACTTAAAAGATACTCTAGAACACAGTAAACTTAAATCTGATATAACACACACACACACACACAGTAACTCTCAAAACTGCATCCAAGATTGCTCTTTCAAACCACAATGTGGATGTTTTAAAATCTGTAACTTCTCCTGAAGTAAACAGTTTTCTAAGCAAGGATAGTAATACAAATGTTTTTCGGGAGTTTATTACATATATTTGTAACACTTTTTAGATTCCCCATCTAAAGCCACATATTTCCATTTCCATAGTTTACCTTTCACTTTATGGAACCAGAAATTCACCATACTATGCTATGAAAAACTTTCTGTTCTCCTGCAGCAACAAGAAAATAATGGGAGTCCTAAAATTCCTTCAATACAAAAAGTAAATAACTGAATTTCATCTTGAAATACTTTGGTTACGAAAGCAGTCATTTACCAAGAAGTTAAAAGTATCCAGAAGCAAAACATGAAGTAAACTGAGTAGATCTGATGAAAGATTCAGAAAACCAGAACAATGACATTAAGAAAATACCAAAGTCAAGGAAACCTTTTACACATCACTGTAAATAAAACTTGTCTACCAAAACAGATATGCAAATGACAATGATTACAGATGAAAAACAGTTTGGGGTAGGAATTAGGGTGTTTAAAATACAGGCAGTCTGCAGAATTTCTGGAGCTTCTCTGTAGTCACACAGTGTCACATCCACACTAAATTTGGTGTTCCTCTACCTGTTTCACAAAAAAAGGAATCTACTAGGGAGACTGCTGAACATATCCTTGAAGCAGCAGTCAATCATCGTTGACTTTACAAACACAGATTTAGCTCTGAGAACAGTGACAACAATTAACACCAGTCTTATTCATTATGGCCAAGCATTTAATTGCATCTATCACTAACTGCTTTCATCTAGTCAGTTGAAAACACACAAAGCTATCAAGGATTTCAATTAAGGAAATCAAACTATTATATATGAAAGGAAATTCTGATTAGTTTCTCAGGTCAAATACTTAAAAAAAAGTAACTTACCAGCTTAATTGCCACATACTCATTTGTGTATAAATTTTTTCCTTGAAAAAAAACAAAAACAAGAGTGTGAGAGACTGGCTTTTCTCTTCAAGTAAAGTGCCATTTAAACCTCAATAAAGTATTTGAAACATTTTTGATCTAAGGTGACAGGTGTTCTGGTAGTAACTTTAAAGAAAAAATGGCTTTATTGGCTTTAAAATATGGTGTCACCATATTTTAAAGAGAACTTTGTTCTTGAATAGTGCATGAAGTGGCAGTTTCACTGAGAGTGAGTTTCGGCTATTTCACCAGCTTTCCAAAATTTTTATATACTACAAAAGCTCGAAAATTGGTAAATTACTGTAAGTGGAATGTGACATTCTACTTTTTTACATTAATTGCTGAAAACTATTTAAAATTTATTTTTAAATTATCCTCTGGTTTTGGAACAGCAGACACTACGTTAGAATTAACTAGGACTATTTTTCTTCCTCAATTCTGTACTTACTAAGCTTAAAGTTAGGGCAAAGAGGGCAAGAATATTACTGAGTTAAATGCTCATACCATTTGGAAAATGCATCTGTTGCTTTAAAAGTTATTCTGTAACTGGATAAACATATTCCGGCAAGCATTACTTCAAACCGCTTGCAATGAATAAAATACTAAACAAGATTTATAGGTGTAAAATTTAAAAATAGCAAATAAAGGAGAAAATATGTTGTCACATCCAACACTTTTCATTTCTCTATGGTCTTCAAATTAGTTTAGTGTGTATTATTTTTAATGAAAATCCTACTTCTTTTCTCTGAAGGATAACTCTGCTCTGAATTTCCCATTTTTATCCCAATTTTGTTAAAGAAATCAACCAGAGAATATACATGGATCAAGATAAAAAGATTCCCTGAGAACTCAGTTACATTTATAGTCAAAGACTATGATCTCAGCTCTAATCCTTGTTTTTAAAAATAGAGTACTTTTACAAAGTTGAAAAGGATGTATTAAAATCACGTCTTTTAAGGGATCACCTTCACAGAAGCCAAGTTACCTGAAGGCTGTACAATAATAAACACAAAATCAGTATGTGTAGCATGTTCTAATGTGACCACCAAAAAAATGGATAATTCCAAAACCAATCCAGGGACTCGAGTGGAAATACAGGCATCTTAAACAGTTATTTCTTGGCTTACGATCATTTGAGTTACATTTCTGACAAAAAGTATACTTTCTTTGAAGTTGCTTCTGTGTCTTTTCATGCTATTGCACTCTAAAAGACATTAAAAGAAAGTATTGCAGGGGGCCTGCTCATTCGGTCTATTAGATATATGAATCAGCTACTGGAGTAGCTAACAAATCCAGTTACAGTTAAGTCACTGGATATTGAATTCCAGTAGCCAAATGGAGTAATGACAGGCTTATCATTTTGAAGAAATGTCAGAAGGGACAATATAACTCTCCATGTGGTGATTCAAGACAATTTTCTCTTTACAATATGGAAGACAGCAGATTTGACATCACTGTTGATCTGTCTCTAAGCACAGAACAGATATTGCATAACGCATCACATGCAGCAGCAACAAGCTTTCTTTTACTACCTCATCAGTTTATCTTACCTATTGAGATTAACAGCTCAATATTCAAAACAGTTTAGTCCTTTGCAAATTAATGGTTGCACACCACAGACACTCAGTTGCAATATACAGCCAATTTACCACTTGATCCACAAGCCACTACAGATGCCTGGCAATTCCTTTCTGCTCAGGTGGAAGAACTACAACGGCTACTGATCTGTAACTGAAATTTTAGCTCCTGAAGCACAGCTTCACTGCTCTTTAACAACTTCACTCCTCCTTAAAGTCCTCCTTAAAGATTCGACTCTAAGACATATGCTCAAAATATATCCCAGTTTGAGGAAGCATGTAAAACAAATTAAGCACTTTTGTACGTCCTCATAGGAGAGATGCCCGCTTTTAAGTTATTTGCTACTGTAGTAATGTAAATGCAAAACCAACAAATTTAAAACAGAATCTGTAATACCAATCTTAACTCCTGCTTTCAGTAACTTATATATTTAAAATACCTTACTCCACAAATAACAGTAAATAAGGACTTGAAATATTTACTATGTATGCAAAAAAGCAGATGTTAAAAAGAGAAAGCCTGCACTTGTTCTGGTGGCTGTTGCAGGACAGTACACTACACTTATCTTCCTCCTATTTCTTTTACTTGTTTGTCCCATTTTATTTCAGTACTATCAGACTTTAAGTCTTAAATACTTTAGTATTATATTCAGAATGAAATAATTATTTCACTCTGTATCTGCTGCAAACAAATGAGTTGCAAGCAAATGAGTTAATCTGATACTTATCTGAAACAGAGAACCAACTCTATATGTTGTGACCACTTCAACATACCAGACAGGAAAAAAAATTAACTTCATTAGTTTACAGTTGCCTTCAGTAGTGTGACATTAATTATACTGGTTTGATTTAGTTCATGGAGAGGTTTAAAAGAAAAAAGAGCATTCAAAGCCAGTTTAGAAGAGTTTAGGACAAGTTGACGACAGGTCTTCAGCTTGACTTGTGTACTGATTGCAGAGGCACACATATAACCTATAAAGGTCAAAATATAACAATCTTGTTTAACTATTAATAGGAATAGCAAGAGTACCTCTTATTGAGACTGTGTTAAATGCAGTATCCTTAGTCAGAACTCCAGAAACATTAACTTTCATCCCCCTACAGTACTAATATGCTAAGCTTGTTTACATTCTGAATCACACTAAATACAAGGCCCACAGAAAGCACTATCTTAAAAATGTTATATTTTATGCATGCTACAAACATGCATATATAAACATGTTATATTTTATGCAAGCGCTATATTAAAAGTATTGTCTGAAGGACAATGAGTATCAGTTCTACCAGAGGCAGATTAACAGAAACACACACCTTCATAGCCTACCCAACTCTCAAATACCCTACTTTGGAACCTATCTCTAAGCCTTCCAGGAATAATGGCAAGAATTTGTTCCAGTAAGTGTCAAGTTATATTTGTTAACACATAAAGAATTTGCAGATCTTAAAAACCCTGGCTAATCATATTGTCATCATGGAAATTTAAGTCCCCAAAACTATAATCTTCCAAAAGCACATACCCACCATAAAGTGTCTATTTTAATAGATGGTAAAATTTCCAGCTTTGCTGTCCAAATTCTTCAAAATTCTACAGGTCCTTCTCAGTCTGTACCTTCTTTACCATTTGATTTTCATCCACTTGCTCAGCAAGAAACTAACAAAGTAATTCACTCATCTCCAAGATTCTCTCTACTCACTGCCCCTGTCTGACAGCAGCTCACTGCTTAGTCTCACTACACTGCCAATGATGGAAAGGAAACCAAGGAATCCAAAAGCTTGCTGCTATTAAAAACACTGTAGTGCCTGCTACAATGTCTCCAGGAGACCTCCAAGACTACAGTACTATAAGCCAGACCTATAGGAGGAGGAAGTGTTTCACATACACTTAGCCCCAAACACATCTGAATAAACTGCTTCAGGAAACCAGGAAAGGCAGCAAAATACAATGACCCCTAAGTAATTTCCAGCATAGCACTGCACACAGTTACAAAACATTTCTAGTCCCAGAAAGTCTCCTGCTACAGAGATTCTTAATATGCAGTAGAGCTTGCGCTGGCCAAGGTCAAGCCACAAAAGACTAGCAAGGCAAATTTAACATATATGAAGCTTGAAAGCAGTTTGAAGAGCTGTATGGTGTGTTCATGTAGACATTTTCAAGCCTAGACTGCATACAATGGCCTTGAATAGTGTAAAGTGAAATAAATAAATGAGGATCTTACCTAATCGTAGTTCTCCAAAATTGCCACATCCAATTTTTTTGCCAACTCTGAAGTTAGGTCCAACCATTAACACTCCAGAACTTGAAGAACCAGTTCCACGTGGATTATGGCCTGACCTCCCACTAGGCCGTGCCATTCTTTCATCTGGCTTGTCCTTGTCTTTCTTTTTATTATCCATGTCAAGTTTACGGTACTCCACTTTGATTTCTTCCTTTTTTCAAAAATCAGCAAACTCCAGTTGGACAATGTGAGAATGAAAACATCACTAGTGAAGAGCCCAGCTGGTTACTGTCAATAAGCAGTCCACAGCAGCGTGTTCATCCCATTTGCAAAGGCTTCGTAGGACCTGGAGTAAAAATATATCTGCAGAATGCACACCACCAGCAATATTTACTGGTATTTAGAGGAATTCTGTTAAAGAAAAAAAAAGTTATTCAGTACAGTACGATTCTTGTCCAAAATAACCTCTCTTCAACTAGTCACACAATTAAGCTATAATTAATTATATCTGCACTACAGATTCACTATGAAAAGCACTGCTTTAAAGTTAAAGCCTCTGATTCTAGCACATAATGGCAAGAGATGCTGGTGTGACTGAAGTGAGCTAAAAAATCTCAAGGCTTAATGCAACAGTTATTTTCAAAAAAAAAAAAAAAACAACCCTATAAAACTACTTCCTTACTAGGTAGACACACTTTAAAAAAAAAAAAAAACCTCAACACTTAGACACTCATTGCATCTTATGCCAGCTTTGCAAAAGAAAACATTTTATTTCTAGAATTTTTTCCCCCAGTAGTATCTGTTGATCTACGGACATGCTCAGGCTGCACAGTTATTGAAGTTGTAGAAAGATACACAAAATTATTCCTGTTCTGAATTATAATTTCTGAGATGCACATTTTATAAACTTATGGCAAGGACACTTCAGTTCTTTCAGTAACTCCTGGAGTCTGAAAATAAAATACATTTACTTATTCTCCCTTGCCCTATTTAATTATGTCCTAAATTTGCTGCCCTGCTCCCTGGATTCACCATTTATTATCATTGCCCAGACATCTATTCCAACATGGATTTCAGCAAAAACATAAAGTTATCTTACTACTGCAATGAAGAATCCCAATAAAGCTTTCACTTTTACCTTGCTGTGTTGGGGGGGCTAGAAGCATTTCTGGTAGTGGAAGAAGGGGCTACATTGGTGGCCCCTGTGAGAAGCTTCACAAAGCTCCCCTGGCTCCAAGACAGACCCACCTGCAGCCCAGGCTGAGCCAATTAGTGTTATAGAAATGCCTCTTCAAATCCATATTTATGAGGGGAAGAACCGGTTTGATAGAGAACCATCAGGAGAAACCATTGACTTGAACAAAAAAGACCATCCGCCTGAACAAAAAGAGCATCGTTGCCATGAGGAAGGAAGAAGAGGGAAGAGACAGATAACCTCAGACACTGGGATCAGCACACATTAGAGCAGAAAGTGGTAAATGAGGTCCCCTGCAGTCCACTGAAGTCCAACAGCAGAGCAGATACCCACGTGTAGGCCATGGAGGATGCCAAGCTGGAGCATAAAGCTTAGCGTGGGGGCAGCTGTGACTTTGAGCTCCTGATGAGCAAGAAGACCCCAGAGTTGGGGGTGAGGAGGTGCGCTGGACCCATCTGCAGCCTGTGGACATCTCCATGACAGAGCTGGAAGCTGTGCCTGAAGAGGTCCGTGACTCCATGGGAAGCTCATGTTGGAACACTTTGTTCCTGAACTCTTGCAGCCCACAGGAGGGATCTCATGCCAGAAAGACCAGCAATGGTAAACTGACTGTAATCCCCACTCCCTGTGCTGCTGCAGAGAAACCAGGCGCAAAGCAATTTGAGCCTGGGAAAAAGGCAGGAGTAGAGGGAAGGTGTCTTAAGATGTAAGAATTAAATTGATTTTTCTTCCCCAAGTCGAGTCTGTTTTGCCCGTGACCACAACTGGTGAGTGACCCATTCCTGTCCTCATTTCAACCTACAAACCTTTTGTGGTGTTTCTCTCCCCATCTCACCAGGTGGGGGGAGCAAGTGCAGGACTGCATGGTCTTAGCTGTGGCTGAAACCACCACACTTGTCCATAAGAAGAGTGGATATTGTCTTCTATTTGACAATAGTGGTTTAAAACCCCAAAATTCAACAGATAGTTGGCTACTATATAGCCAAAATTTCAGGGTGAGTTAAATATCTGTACAAAATCATTTTGCTACATTTGCTTCAATGTTGGTAATACACTGCAGTAAAAGAAAACATCCTCTGAAAAAATAATGTATTTCATGTGCTACAGTCTATTTTAAAGATAGTCATAGGGAGCTTATTTTAAACACTTTGAATTGAAGATACTTTCATTTCTTAAACTACTTTCTCAAATAAAATTCTTACTCACATTATAGCTTATTGCAACATTTTAAAAATCAAAGAGCCAGTAGAGAAAAGATACTAAAGAATATGAACCACCACCCAAATAATTGCATCTGCTGAATCATGGATATTCATAGCATGGTGAAGCAACACCTGAACAAGGAATCACATGGAAATTTGTTTGGCAAAGAAACATGATCACGTTACTGTGAAAGAGAATGAAATACTTGTTCTGAGAACAACCAAAAAATGCAAATGCAGATTCCAGTCGTAGTAGAGTAATGCAAGGGAAAAGGACTTCAGCAGTGAACAACTGATGCAGTAGTGTGATATGGTAGAGGCAGAGGCATTTAAGAGAAAAATACAAGTGCATTTGGCTACAGCATGATCTTGCAGGTTCAAAAATGATCACTAGATACCTTAAAGTCACTTTCAAAACCACAGATCCCAGAGGAATAGACTCAAGCAGAAGCAACATGCAATTCTTCCTCACCCACTGTGTTACAACAGCTAGCAAAGAAATTAGAAAAACAGAAATTGAGTGTGTTGAGGTAGGACTTCAAGGGCACCACTTAGTACTTAGAAAAAAGGCAGTACATCTGATGCAGCAGAATGCACAAAAATTTTAAGGATGAAAGAGAAAAAGACTTATGTTCCATATCTTACTGGTTCTCCAGCGAGAAATAACAAGGTAAGCAATCCTGGAATTTTTAGTGCTAATACACAGGCTTCATGGCAAATAGAAGCAATGCACCTAAGCACAGCATATTTCTGCCATCACCAAAGAGAAAAAAGCATAGTCAGTTATTAACACAATGTTTTGGTCATCTCAGTATGGCCAGAAAGGCCAAACTTCATGGCACTGTTTTCCACATACCAAAATCTCCATACGACTAAGTGCTGAAGGACATATCTTGGAACAGTGGAAGGCTAGAAAGGCTCTAACAAGTTCATACCAATGATATCAATGGGCTCCACAACAAAGCACTAGGGCTACAAAAAGGACTGGGTATGCAAACCTAAAGAAATCCAAATCTGATTTCAGAGTTAATAGGATTCTTAGCTTGCAAGTTTTCCATAGCTTACCTGTTGCCACATATACAATATCTAATCACATGTGAAATGAGTTTACAATTGTATTACTCTAATGCATCACAATTTCATTTTAGAAGGACAAAGCAGTTCCTGACAAAACATTTTGTCATTTATTTCAGGCTTCCCAATTTTAACTATCACCTGAGCACAGCATGTAGCCTTGCTAACTGAGAAAAAAAACTTAGCTATAACAGGCTGGGTTCTAAGGCTGCTGAGAATTAAGTTGTGATGCATCCAGAGCATGGAATAACAAGCAGGCAACACAAGGGCCGAGGGCATCAGAAATTCAGTAGCAGCACTAAGGCAATGTTGATGTCTAAGAAAGCAGTTGTGAGCAGAAGAAAGTCCATCAGCACCAGAAAACCTTCCAATCTCACACTGTTTCAGCTCATGTATCAACAAAACAGTACTAGAGAAGCCAAGCTGGAAGCTCAAGGACAGATTATTTATTATTTACGCAAAGCATATTAGCTGCTCTGTGTGCATGCTGGTCCAGATGAATCCTAATAGTTAACAAGACACTGAAGCTTCAACAGGGAGAAATTAGTTTACACAATACATTTTTTTAACTCATCTATATAATCATAGGAAGAAAGTCCAAATCATAATACTATTAAGAGGTGGGCCTTGTTAAGTTACCACAAATGAAGATTTGCAATACACGTAAAATCTTCATTTTAAAAATATCCTATTTGTACATCCACAATTTAACAGTCTAATATTTTAGACACCAGTTTATTAGGCACTAATGGCGACAGATTTTCTCAAGTCAGTTTTTACTTACTACAGTCATCATTAAGGGAACTTTCCCTGATTACTCAATACACACATAGCCTCAGACACTAAAAATGTCTGATTACAGAACACTGAACACTTAAACAAATATAAAAATCAGATGCTCTTTTAAGCAATTGATAATGCCTAAGTTAATATACTAACTGAAACAGACAATTTGGAACAGAATCCTACCAAAAAAACTATTGGCAGTGGTTTTTAATTCCAGTCTTCACTCTGAAACTGAAGTTACAGCAGTTAGGTTCTAATTAGTTTCAAAAACTGAGCTAATTTATAAGAAATCCCTTTTTTCTTTTTTTTTTTTCCCCAAGGTGTCCACTCAGTCGCTCTCTCACTTCCCCTCCTCAAAAGGGCAGTACAGAGAAAATAAGATTAAAAAACTCATGGGTCAAGACCAAGACAAGGAGATTACTCACCAATTATGGCCACAGGCAAAACAGACTTGACTGGGGCAAGATTAATTTAATTTATCACCAATTAAAATAGGGCAAGACGGTGAGAAACACAGACAAAACTAAAAACACCTTTCCTCAGCACCCCTACTTCCAGGTTCAACTTCAGTCCTCCACTTCCCACTCATCTACCTCCTCCCCTCTCCTGAGTGGCACAGAAGGATGGGAGATGAGGGTTGTGATGAGTCCGTAACAGCTCCTCTCTCCTGCTCCTTCCTCCTCATACTGTTCCCCTGCTCCAGTGTAGGTAGGGTCCCTACCATGGCAGACAGTCCTTCAAGTGCTCCAGCACAGGTCCTCACCACAGGGTACAGTCCTTCAGGAACGGACTGCTCCAGCGTGGGTGCTCCACAGGGCACAAGTCCTGCCAGCAAACCTGCTCCAGCATGGGTTCTTCTCCATAGGCCACAGCTCCTGCCAGCAGCCTGCTCTGGCGTGAGGTCTCCACGGGTTACAGCTT